TCATAAACAGCTGCCACAGTTCGTAACAGTCATATTTTACCTTAACCAAGGTTCAAATCTCATTACACGGCACATTACTTCCTGTTTGCTGCAAAAGCCCCCAGAATGACATGTGGAACACAACTATATAATTGCAATACTAAAGACTACACAATATTCAGAAGATTAAACAATATGTGACGATCCAACATTAACACTTCTGAACAAAGTCCAACATACGTTCATGCCAGGTCCTTGGTTGTTCATTCACTAACCAGTCACATAATCAGATTAGTTTTCTTCTGCAGCCTACCCCTTTGCTGGGATGTTCACATGAAAAATACTACTGCAACCCAACTTTCATCGTGCTAGCAGAATTCTCTCTATTTAAATCGCAATAAACTTGAAGATAAGCTCTTTGTTACATGCTTGAAAACATACCTTGGGAGAAGGAAATCAAATGTTAAATGAAAAACTTATATTGCAATCTATTTTGTGTGTTCCATTTTTTTATTCTGCAAAATTCTCAGTTCGATACTACATTATGAAACTGTCAATCAAATAATTTTGTAAGGTCATGGCAAGTGTTCCTATTACTATTTTTCTGCAGTTCATTCTTTTTATGATTTTAAATAAGTAAATAAATATCAGCGCAGTTTAGGATGAAACGAAGCACCAGAACACTGAAATATCCTTAAGGCAGAAATCACATTTTCCTGACCGATTCTACAAATCTAGCCTTATCTAAATTCATACCTCATGAAATTCTAGCACTTTTTTTCTGTATTTTGCAATTAAAACCATACATGCTTATTTTGTATACATTTTTCTACCTGAGGCTATAACCAGGCTGCATACCTACTACTGCATGTGTTGCAGAATTTGGTTTGTCAAAATGGCAGAGGTGTGAACTTTTGCTGTCACATTTCGTAGTGCATCTAATGATGATTGGTAATGTTTTCTCAACTACTAGGCCATCAGCAAGGTATGGTGAATGCCATTGGTCTTCTTATTTTGCTCCTTGTATTCCCTAACACATCTTTGTTCCCTTTTTCTGCCAGATAGCAATGGAAACCATGCAGATGAATTCTCCATATCCGAAGGACCTTATTTTTCTATTATCCTTTCCAAATATTGCCTCTAACACCACCAGCATGTAGAACCTTCACCGTATACACACCTTCCACTCAGTAGAGAGGACTGCATTCAACTCAACTAATACTTGATTCAGGAATACAGGCACCACTCGGGAGACGCTACAACTAAAGCAGATCATAGAGCTCAAACAGCAGCAGGGTAACTCCTGCTGCCATGGGAAGACTGATAAACCATCAGTAAAACGCAGTTCCAGCACGCCCAAGTCAGGAACTCCCAACACCCTCACAAACACAGTCCCTCAGAAGAGTTTCTATGCTGGGACTGGATGCCTTTGTTATTTTAAGCCTACTTCTCCATTCAGTTTTCCTCTCCAGCTGGGATTACTGCTACAATATTCACATGCCGAACAGTCACACGATGAGAATCCCATTCTTCAAACTGTCTCTGCTTTACATGCCATAACTTTTTATGAACACTATCTGAATTTTTTTTTTTTTTCTCCTCGGTGATGTAAACAATCACAAGATTTTGCTCATCTGAAGGTGAGCAAAGATGCCTGAACAGACATTCTGAATGAAAGAATTTAAATCAGCTTTCTGATATTACAGCAAGCACTGAATTCTCCACTGAACTTAAATCTCATTTTAGGAAAGCCCATTCAGCAGATAAGAGTCTATGAAGATAGTTTTAGCAGTAGTATTCTCAGAAAAAAAGCTAAAACATATAGGCAAATCCTCTAGAATACTTTAAGAATCAAGAAAGTTTAAGTGAGACAAAAATACTTCCTTACGCAGCAGAATATCTAATTCACTTATGGTGAGAGAAAAACAAAAGGCTAATGTGGCCCATCTAAAAAGTAAAGTAGCCACAAATTTGTAATGACTGGAATTAAACCATGAGTCACACCATGTTACTCGATTGATTGTTTAGATGAATTTATTATCAGATTCATGTATTATAGGTACATTTTCATTTATAAAGACTATTAGCATACTCATATTAGCAAATGTCAGGGCAAAAGGTCAATTTCTGGGCAGTCTCATCTATTTTAAATGAGGCTTTATGTTTTCCCATTCCAGAAACAGTCTGAACTACAACTATTATCTAAAAAGCACCCTAAATTTTTGCCTCTGTACCATTTTAAGCAACACCTTTCTACAGAAAACTTTACTCATGAGACAATACACCGAAAATGTTCTTCGCAAACCAGTAGCAGGTGTATCATGTTGATCAGATAATCTTTCCAATACATTATTCAGAAAAAAATAATTAAAGCAAACCTACAAGGTACAATATGAGTCTTCAATGTTGCGTAGTTCAATCTTTAATTGTGGAAGGAAATACATGCTGCGTAATAGACCAAAGCAATAGACATGGGTGTACAGTCTAAAAAGGAACGACTGATCTTCATAATGAAGTGAATGTGAATACATATTAATCACTGCCAAATTATGCAATGTTTAAATGTTTATAAATAGCTTCCTTTATGTAACTTGATTTTTTTGAGTACTTACTGGAGTCTTACAGGCAGACATTGAGCACCATGTCTGAAGACAGGAAGGCTGATGGTAAGCTTTAAAAAAAAGTACAATCACACTGAAAGAGAAACTCCAAAAGTTTTATTAGGATTTCAACAGACATTGCAAAAAAATATTGCATAATGATCGAAAACATAATATTTTAAACAAAGTAGCAATGTGGTATCAAGTAAAAGAAAGACTGGGACAGCTGTCTATATATGCTGTAAAGAAGATGTACCAGGAAAAGGATATGACATTTTTAAAATTCAAGGGCAAATGTGAACAAGACACATTTTGATAGACTGACTATACACCATAGATGTTTTACAAACTGCATAGCAGTGTAAAAAAAGGTTTTTATCCTAACTATATTGTATTCCTGCGTTTGGAGCAGTTTACAAGGCAGAGATTTTGTTTACAACATTGATATTTTAATAGCTCTGGATTCTCATAAAAAATAAACTAATTTAACAAAAAAGCCTGTATCTACATTTGAAAACAAAAGTGCATGTATTGAGAAATAGTGTTATTTCTTAAGAAGAACACCGAGTACTTAAAAAGTTCAGTTTAATAGATCAACAACTGATGATGATACTTTAGATGTAGATCTGCACTGCGCTACAAGCGAGATTCTACCAACACCAGCTCCTCTATCTGAATACCCTCTTCTCCTAAGCGACCAAGACACGTGCCTGCCTACCATACTCATCAGGGTTCTGGGTAGTTACAAAGAATGCCAAGTACCAAAACCACCACATTGCTGACAAAAGAAATACCAGTAACCCAAACCAAATGTTTTAAAGTAGATTTAGCCATAAACGCAACCATAAACTCCTCAACATTCAGGATCCTTCCAGTCACACAACTACTTTTAAACACTGGAGAGCAGCAGCAAGGAGCCATTAGAGCTAAAAGACAAGAACTGACGGAAGTCTGTCTCCTGCCTTGTACTGAAGAATTTGTGGGTAATGAGGATTTCAATGCACTCAGAAAACAGGGAGGGGGTGGAAGCGGGGGGGCGGTGGCAGAAGGAGGGTGGTGGCAAAATCCCTACCTAAACCCCTGTTGGTTTAGTCAGATTTGTACACGAATCTAGATTCTCCTTTCCACATAACTGTGGTAACAGCTAAGAATTACTGCAAATATTGCTAACTTCTGCAGAGGGTTTACTCCTTTCCTCTCTCCAAACAAAAAAGAGAAAGTGTAGAAAGAGAACATGTAGTTTGAAGATCCAGGCAGAACTTCTGTAATTTCAACTCATGGCACTGAAGAACTAGATTTAATTTTTTTTCTGGGCACCTGTAGCACTCTGGATAGAAAAAGGCAGTGAATGTTTAGCTGGACTGGACCCAGAATGGGAAATGCACAGATACCAAAGTTGTGAACTGCAGCCAGACTAGCCATAAACAAGTGTCCAGTACAGAAATTATGAGTAATAAATTTAGCCATTTTTGTAAACATCTCCTCCTTACTAATCTCTTATTTTTTCCTATAATGGAAATACGTACTGTATTTCTTTGTTCCAAGCTCTGGTCTGTTTCTGTTTTAGTTTTGTGGCACAGTTGCTAAGTGCAACAGGCTAGAGACACCAACATTAATACAAACAAGTTGGAAAGTCGGTTCAAGTTATTACAGTTTTGCTATACCAGGCCATTTTTCATAGCATGTATTCTCTGTTCACAGCTGCTTTGTGAGATCTTTCATTGTGGAAGACTGGAAGCAAATTGGAGTTGTTCATTTAACAGATGTGGTTGAACGTACGTTTCTGATATGCCTTATGCAATTAACAAATCATGTCTCATCTTATGAAGATGATACATTTGCTATACATACCAGTAATTTAAAATGCTCCTCCGAAAAGCAGCATTTTTATAGACAAATTAACAGAAAAGGAGACAATACATCTCACAATACCATAAAACAAGTAAAGCCCTTTCATTAGCTGCATTATAAATTCACAACTGTTCATCACATACTTTGAATTTCTGACTGCTCAAGCAATTTAACCCTCAGTCAACTGCAGGACAAGGAAAAACATTTTAAATCGATGTCATTGTAGGTGCGAGAGTAAAAACTAGTATTACATGGTTTTAGCTCTAAAAGTTTTGCTCCCAAAAGTGAAGTAACTGTTTATAGTTCAGAAGAAAAATAATCATTGTTGACATGTCAAAAGAAAGCTGTACTAAAAATTAAGCTGCTGTAAATCCAAGTTCACTTAGATCATTCCTTAAAAAAAAAAAAATTTAAAAAAAGCTGATCCTAGATCACCTAGGTTAACTAGGAAGAGCACTAGAACACTAATTTCATGAGAAAAGATGCACTTAAAAGCTTTGTTTGAGAAATCTACTATGAAGTTTTGAATTCTTCCTTACCTTTCAAATATTTGGATTATAATTTGTTAAAAAAAAAAATAGACCAAATACAGAAAGTACATTTGGTCAGGACTTTGTCTCACTACAATTCAGTGTTTCCTATCTAAACGTGCATACCGTTCAGAGGCCATTTTTGAAATGTTATCAGTCAACAGCAACATGGGCACCAGTGAATCAGAAAACACACCTTAGGATTTTGTTCTTAAATTATATAAGTTAGATAAAACTACCCTGTCCAGCAAGTTCCGAATTTTTCAAACATTAAGGCAACTTTCATGACTTTCCAGCTAAACAGTATTATAAAAAATAAATGTCACTTCAAACCTTATATACACAGTGACAGAGTAGATTTAGCTAGAAAGTATCTTTAGTACATTAATAAAGTGTCACGTAATATTACCGAGGTTTATCAGGTGCTTGAGTGTATGTGCAATTGGAGTGGTTGCAATATTTAAAGTACTGGTTTCAAAACAGAGCGAAGCGAACGTCCTTCTTTAGTGAGTTCTCGTGTTACACACATACATGGCAGCGGAACAGCCTCCTCTCTTCTCTCCACGGCATTATAGCTACACTTCTTCAAGTGGTCGGCCATGCTTACGATGTCAGCAAACTTCCACTCATTCACGGTACAGAAGGCCGTACTGAAGCGCCAAACCTAGAAAATAAGTTGCATTTAGGCTCAAAATGTTTTAAGATACCTGAACAGCAGAAAATTAAATGTTTGTACTGTAATATTTTCAGGCAATGTTTTGCAGCTACTATAAATCATACTAAAAATCAACATGACAAAAACACACAATGCTAAATTTTGCATAGCCAGTCTCAGGCTGATTGAGATTCCAAGTCAACTCTGAACACTGGGAAGAAAGGCAGGCAATACTTTTTGCATCTGCAAAGTAGATGCAATCAGAAGTCAAATGGCGAAGTACTGCATGAACAGTCGCCACGATCCATTTCTGAAATGATCAACTTCTGCAATTCCAAATCATTGCTGCAGATATTCTGCAGTTCTGAGGGCAGGAGGGGGGAGGGAAGAACTGTGAAAACTGTACTATACAAAAGTCACCTAAAGGTTTAAAAATTATTTACATTCTTAAGGACAGGATCTTGAGAGATGAGCAAAAATTAAAATTGCTGTAAACAGTGTAAAGGCAAGAAAAGCAAGCTTTGTAGGCAACTTTCCCACTTTCATGGAATACTGATATTAAAGAATATCATGCAGTAATCATTTAATATTTTAAAATCTTGGGAAAATCAGAGGTTAATCAACTTACATCAGGTAAAAACTAGACAGACACCACTAACTTCTACTTCTTCAAGTGTGGAGAAGACTGAATCAACATGCTAGCAATTTTCACTAATCGCTGTTCTATATGACAATCTGTTTCTTGAAGGGATATTATATCAAAACCCAGTAACAACAATTGCCTTAATATTTTCCTTAATCGCTAAAAGCAGAGACATGACCAATTTAATACTTTCCCTTTCACCTTCCAAATAAGAAATAACTTACCTTTTCTTTTATCTGCCAGGAAGAACTTCCATCTGGGTACTTTCTCTTCTCCCAAAGCAGTATCACCATTCCACGTGCTTGAAGCAAGCTTCCACACACATCTCTCATTAAACGTGACACTCTTGAAAGCTGACATAAACTAAAGCCATCTAGAAAACTAGCAATGTGCTGCAGAACCTCAAAAGGTAGACTACTCAGATGGTCATTGTGAAGTCCAATTAAGCAGCTTTTTGCTGGTTCTACTAATACTGTGGATATACAAGGCTGAACTCCAAATGACCGTAAGTGGCGGTCATGAATAATTTTTGCCCCTTGTGTTGAAGGACAAAACCTTCGTTGAGAGTATGTACACCCATAATATGCCAAAGGACACCTCTGCTCCATCCAGCCATTAAGGCCAGCATGAATGTCACCATGCACATTCTTAAAATGTGATGAAAATTCATTCCTCCGAAACAACTGTCCACAAACAAATGTAAACATTGAACGCTGTTTTGTTTGGTATCTAGCCACATATTCCAATACCAAATCCAGTCCAAGGGTCTGGAATGGACTTGGATTTGAGAGCTGTGGGTTGGCATGATCACATGCAGAGGCTGAAGCTATTTCCCCCACCATTGTATTTGTGGCCAATATAGCAGATGGGAGAGAAAATGTTTGGGTCCCAAAGTCAACACGATACACATCGACAGTGCGACTTTCCGATATCCCCCTACCTCCAGGAGAGTCTCCTAGGCAAAACAACAGAGCTGCAGTGATTAGATCAATCCCCTGAAGACCCATAGGGTCTTCTGTTATCTCCAAATCTGATGTATCAACAGCTTTGTCTTCTTTTGGTGCAGACCAATAGTGGTTAACAAGGAATTTGTACGATCGATGCCGTAAAAGTGAAAACGCATCTACGTTTCTCAATCTTTCTTGCTCCACCTGCCTCTCTAACATTTCTTCTTCGTTAGCATTATGGGGAAGTAGTATATGATTAACATTGCCATTAACTAAGTGATCAGCTGATATTACTTCTTTCAGTTGTGCTGTTACAGGGAAGGAGCTGCAAGACTGTAATTCTTCATCATCATGAGATGCAGTACATTCGCCATTTGCTATACTGGATGGTTTTGAATTAGATACACCAAGATCTTCATTCTGGTCCAACACCTTTGAACATTCATTTTCCACATGAAAGCCATTACACAAAAGTGAGGAGTTATTGAGGTTTAGACTTAAATCATGGTTTTGCACTACATCATAACAAATATCACTAGAACCATTTTGCTCCATTTGTGAATTTTGACTCAGGCTATCCAAGTTAATTCCCCCAACTGCTCCTACGTTATCTTCATCTGGATATTCACGGTCAGACTTTTTATCCTGAATAATGCCATTAGAAGCTTCAGTATCTTCTTTCATCTCATGTGGTGAAATGCAGAGCCTTGAACTTAACATATTAATGTCCCTTGTAGCAGTGTTGAGGATATCCAGAGCAGCAGCTAAACTCCTTGTTGTTTCTACAGTAGCTTGATAAAGTGCACCATAGGATTCTTCATCAACAGGTATCAATCCATTTGAATGCACTGTATCTGGGGCACTTGATTTGACAGAGGTTTGCTCTCTGGATTCTGGTATTTGATCACCTGCTTTTGACATCATAGTAGCTACTTTAAGTGATTCCAATAACATGCGCTGGTCTTGAAGGGCTAAAGCCATATCTAGCTGTTCCACTTCATCAACATCTTTACTCAGATTTTCGTAAGATTTTCGGTCTGCGTAACTGACTGGCCATCTATTCCACTCCATGGTACAACATACCACACTTGCAGGACAAACTTCTAGATGATCAGCAATTTTATTTCGGGCTACTATGAAGGGACATCCAAAGCCACTATTCAAACAAGGCACTCTTTCAAGTGGACATAACATGCGATGTTCCTCAGCTTTACATGAGTGAAAAACTGCTCCACAAACCAACGGGCAGCCAATCAAATCACAGGAAATGCCAGGCTCTGGTCTCGTCATACAACGACGGCTGACACAGTTCACACAGTGTAAATGTTGCTGATGTTCCTCCATGACTGTAAATCCAATTCTGAGTGAAAAGAAAGGAGACAAAAGCATAGAATAGTAATTCAATATTGCTAATATTTACTAACAGTTATTTGCAGTTTTGCATCCTCTACGTGTACAGAGAGACGTACGTTAACACAATGTGGACTGATCAGTAGCCATTTTAACAGAAAGTATGTGGCATTTTATCTCAAAGAAATGGTTTTTAAAAGTTTACCTGAAAATTAAAGATACAAATTGGTGTCAGAGTTCAAGACACAGTCTATGCATTTATTCACCAGGTAAAAATGTTCTATAATCCTTCCCTTAAAGGTCTTTTCTGACCTAAACGATAAAAAAAAAAAAAAAAAAAAAAAAAAAAAAAAAAAAAAAAAAAAAGCTCTTTTCCCCTACCCATTGCAAACAGGTGACTAAATGAAAAACAAAGCATGATCATTGACAATGGCCTACTACCTAAAATTATAAACCATGCAACTCTACAGAGTAGGGAGATGAAATAAAGGAAGCCAGATTCATCCTCAACTCCAGTGCTCTAAATTAAACAGAGGCAACCTATTCCCTGGGCTGCTTGCTACCACCTAAGCTTCTGACACCTTCTGCACGCAGTTCTGTTTAAAGCAATCTGCAGCCCTCAATGTGTATCTCAATCCCCTTTCATTTCCCATTCTACCCCCCTCCACGCTTCTGACAGACAGCAGACCTTTACAACAGCTCTTCACTCTTTTCTTCCTCTATAGCCTATAGCGCCTCCCTTAGTTTTACAGTAGTTGTTGCATAGGGGTAGCAATTATACTACACATTAAATAAGTACTTTTACGTAAAACTTTACTACCCAACATGGTCCTATCTATACTCCAGTTCAACCCACAGAAGTTTTTTTTAATGCATCCTACGGCCATTGTGATTACAGTGCCAGCAGTTCAAAGTATAAGGGTAACATAACTTTACATAATAAGGCCAGACAGCAATAAAAATCCAAATAAAATTCATTGCATAATCTTTTATAACAAACTGACACAAACAAAAAATGCAATTCTTTGTTGCAGTAGGGAGAAAAAAAAGAAAAAAGAAAAAAAACAAGAGAGTAAACTTTGTGGTTTTGTACCATACTTCAAGATGCTCTGGGAGCTGCTCACTAGCTGCAGTGCAGGCCCACACAAGTGACCGAGCTCTACCCTACACTCTAACAAACTCCCTCTCAGAAGTGATACCAATAGGGATTACAGATCAGAGGTATCACAGAATGACTTGCACAGAGCCAAATCTCAAAATGTTGTTGTCAAAAAACACATTGCTCAGTTCCACGTTTTCCTCACTCTGCACCCTCCAGCAATTTTCTTGAAAAATAAAATGCTCACAGAGTTTAAGATTAATAGAAATGGTGCCTTATTTTATTCTACTAGCTAACAAGTGCTCTCATGCATTGTCTTCAGACTGAACACTTCTGGTTTAATGCATTAAAACTTAAATTAAAAATACTCTAAACTGTAAAAATAAAACTGATTAGTATTATTCCTTTTGTTCAAACTGAAGGTAAGAGGAAACAAAACAAGCTTTTAGACACTCCAAATTATTTAAAGCATTTAAATAGAAATCTATGTGACACTTCACTCACTTGTATTCTTTTAGCACTTTGAAATTCATGCCAACTAAGTAGCAATCAGTCCTCATCCCCCCATCCGTCGTAATTTGGATAACTCAAATATTTTAGCCACCCACTCTCCTGAACACTTCTAACAAAGAAGCATATGTGCTACACTTAGCAGGCAAAACACAGCTGAATCTTCCCCGCCATACCTTAGTGTTCATATACTGAGTAACAAGTAAGTTTCAAATAAATTGTCAAGCGCATCAGTCACCGAACTTGGTGACTGACTGACTTGCTAAACTTTTTAGCAAGCCTTTCTGGCACACAGACTGCTTTCAACGTGCATATTAAGTCAGATAGCATCTACTGCAAAGACCTGAAACATGTTCAGTAAAGAATGCAAAAGAGAAAATTGTTTGACTTCTCAGAGATATTTTTAGTTCTTCCCGCAAAGCTCTCTCTAAGTAATTCCTGCCAAATACAGCAGCCTACCTGTCACCAAACCAAAGAAAATTTCAGTTTTGCATCAATACTAGAAACCAAACTCTAGCTTTCCTCGAGTCAACAGGTGAGCAGAGATCAAAAGGAAGCTCTCAGGTTATGTGTGTATTTTAAAGCACATAACATAAAACAGAAATGCCCCCAAAAAAGACAATTGCTAGTTTATAATGCAAGAGCCGTAACAGAGTCCAGCCCAGGCTTCATGTGTCTCAACACAGTCCTGCTCCCATAAAACAAGCAGTCTGGTAGCAGAGTAAGGCTTAATTTAATCAGATACCCACAATTATGTTTAAAAATATACACACACACACAGAGTTTACCTGCTTTGCAAAAAGCTACACACCCCGCTCAGGTTAAAATGGCCAGAAGCGAGCTGCTGGCAGAGCAGAGGGTGGGGGTGTTAGCTAGCGCACACGGCTCTGTTCTGTTGCTTCTAGGCCAAAGCTGACCCGCATGCAGAGAGCTCAGAATGCAGTCAAACTGAGCTCATATTTGCCTGCACTGTTTGTGTAGACATACCCTAAATTAGTCAACCCTCATCAAATACTATCTTTAAATAGCCCTATGTGAGCTAACACAGAAGAACATTCTATTAAGACAGTAAAGCATCCTCCTCCCTAGCACACTATCTTGGTCTTTACGAGTCAGATTGTGAAACCCGAGTTGCATGATGATACTGGCTTTTCTCAGGCTCCTGGACTCCTTTCACACACAAGCTAATATTCATCAAAACTTAATGATTTCATACAAGCAACTAAAGTTTTGAAGTGTGTAAAACCTGGTGAAAACATGAAATATCACTAACAGACAGTGCAGGAAAGCCAGAGCAGACACTAAAATACCAAGCTTTACCAACAGGTAGATGCTAATTTAGTTCTGCAACAGATGCTTGCAATTGTTTTTATAAAGAAGCAGTTATGCATGTGATCAATTAAATAGCTGAAGTAACCTATTGTCTCAGTTTCCATAAACTGGAATTTCATTGGTCACTAAGAAGTTTGATATTAGCTGTCATTTCTCTTAAGATTTAAATCATTTGGCTCCTTAATTAAATATAGAATTTAAAATATCTTTGGACATCAGTAGACCATCAGCAAGACATTCACTAAAATTCTGTGTCCTGCTTACAAGCCTTAACTTCACAGCACCTGCTGCAGAACTTCAATTTACTCAGAATTTCACATCTCATTTCCAGCTTACTACAAAGTCCTTTTGTGTATATGAAATGTCCTTTTTTTGCATTTTTAATTTTAATACCAGCGCTTCAAACTCAACAACCGTTGTGGGCAGTCATGAGTTCCTGGACTGCTTCAACAGTTAAGGCTTTTGATGTAATTCAATTATCAAATTGCAAAGTCCAAATGCAAAAAATCAAATGACCCTATCAAACTGGTGAAATAATGGATAAGACCTCAAGAATTAGCACTTTCATTAATCAACAAATGATCACGACTCACTCCATTTTGTAAGCTAACCTCATGAACCACAGAGCTTAGCACCTCTCCGATTCATTGATTAAGAGCATCCACACACGAATAATTTTCCTTTGAAGAACCAGAACCAATATATCGCTAATACTACACCGAGAACAAGAACCACATGCTTCCCAAACACTGCCTTGTAAAGGAATAAAACTCTTGGGTGTAGGGGAGATAAAGAAAATTCTTGCTGGAGGTAACAAAGTGCTTTCAGTTACTCTTGATACAGAAAATTGAAAGGGTTAGCAAAGAGCGTCATTGCTGACCTGAAGGAAAATACCTGTCACCAAAACATGTACCAATAATATTTACAGTGTTTATACACCACTGTGGTGTTTGCCAGTTTGGTGAGAAGGTAAGTGTCAGATCAATGGCTACAGCAAGAACGAACAGCTGTCTTTTTCTGATAGTGTAGTGTCAGCAACTAGCTTCAGTTCATATGAGATGCTTAAGTACACACACTTGACTGTTACTAGCAGAGAAACCTAAAAATACATCCCGTTCCAGTGAGGTGACCAGTGCTCTCAGAATTTGTGCAATCACTTGATGTTATTGTACATACTATACAGTCAGCTGACCAAATCAGCCAGAACATGCTTTGAAAATCTGTCATAATTAAAAGGATTAAAATTCCAGCTGCTACAGCCACATGATTTTCAGTTGCTGTTGTAACACAAACATTAAAATAGCATAATAAGGGTTTCAGACAGCCACCACACAGTTCTTCAGCTGCAAGTGAGAGCTCTCACTTTCTTCTACACTACAAAGTGTAAGGAGCTGTACTTAGTATTATCAAACCCAAAGTCTGCTTGCTTACTTTCCCCTCCGTGAATTCTTTGGTGCCAGTAAGATAGGAAATCAGAGCAACTATGACTGCTATTGGAACCCTCCATTACTCAGCTACCTTTTATTCACCAAACCCATAAAGCTCTTTGAGACTCTTCTCTCTACCAAATTCGACTAAATAGGCCAACAGGTTCTTAAATTACTGGTTCATGGAAGTAGAAGAATAGACACACACAAGCAGTACTACAGGTTTAAACTCCCAGGAGCATCCAAATCCACCCACAAGCAGCCAAATATATGCAAACTATTCTAAAAAATTTCCTTTTGAGACTGAAGGAGAGAGTGCCATGTTTATGAATCTTCCAGCTTTTACCCAGGTTTCTCGCTAAAAGAATGGGTAACAAATCTGGTAAGATGCAGAAACTTTCAGAGAGGAAATGGCTAAGTGAGAGATTTAAGTAATAGGTGGTTATAAAAAAGACTAAGGAAAAATAGGGCAAGAGGTAGAGAGCAGTATAATTTAAAAAAATATAGAAGAAATAAAAAGCTTTAGAATATTCTGCCAAAATAGAATTGGCAGTACTATAGATAATTATTGAATAAGCTGTTTTATTTTTCTGTATCCTACCATGCATGGGAGAATAACTGTCATTCACCTTGACTCAAAGGTCTAACTATCACATGCTTTAAACAAGCTTTGCAGTCTTCTAGAAGGCAAGCTTGTCTTGTCATCCCTATCCTGTACAAAAAGTATAACAACTTTTTGTATCTAAAAACCTTACACCTCAGTCTATTACTACAATAGCATGGCCGCACTAACTTTCTATGCCATGCACGTTATGCTCCCTTTTTGGTTTTGGGGGTGGTGGCGTTTGGGCTGATTGGTTTGTTTTGATTTAACAGTTTTCAAATCACTGATGAAAAACATGAACTGGAGGTTCAGTAAGATGTCTTTGACATTATTTCAATTGGAGAATGGTAAATACCCCACTAGTTGCCA